ATTAGTGGGTGGCGTTGATTAGTGAATTATAATTTTACCATGGTATGATTTTGTAGCTACGCTTGCTTTAGTGGGATTTTTTTTTTATTTATTAAAAAACTTAAAGATAAATGTAATCGATTTTGATTTGTCGATCACTCTTGCTTTTCTTGTTTTAATTGTTGTTCTTGTTTTAATTGTTGTTCTTGTTTTAATTGTTGTTCTTGTTTTAATTGTTGTTCTTGTTTTAATTGTTGTATTTCGGTTTCTAGTGAAGCACAAGCTACTTCTAATTGAAGTGTTTGACCAATTAATTCTGTCCATTTATTTTCTAATGCCTCGACTTGACTCCCTGCTTGAATCTATAAAAATTATAAATCATAAAAAAATTATTAAAATATGTTAAATTTCAATGGTTATTATTATAACTTAAAATACCTGTTCAGCTTTTCTTCGTTTATTCAACTCTAAAACTCTTTGACGATAATCCTCTAAAGTTCTTTGAAGCTGTTGTAATTCATGTTCTAATTGATAATTATGAAGCTTCCATGCGTTTGCACCAAATTTTTGAAGTAATTCTAGATTAAAAAATCTAATACAATAATTATTATGTGTGACCTTTATAATTAATAAATAGGTATTAAGCATAAATAAAATACCGAAGATTTTGATGATATAATTGAGCATCCGAATTATCAACAGCTTTCTTCCATAATTCATCATCTTCTTTATCATCAGGTTCGATTAATTTATATCTACTTGTATCCATTTCTGTGATTGGTTTTCCTTGTTGAACACGTTGATATTCTGTTGCAAGTATAGGTGATTCCTAATTAATAGAAAATTTACTAACATATTTAATTAACAATATTAATGAAGGGATTGAATATAATAAAACCATCAAGAAACTTACTTTAAATAATTCAAAATTAGAAGGAAAATGAGAAGCATAATCTCGTTTTGATTGGGCGGGTCGTTTTCTCATTTCTTGCTCGACAAGTTTATCAACTTTTGCTCGCATTCCTTTATAAGATAATAAACAAGTTCAGTATACATATGCATAGAAATAAAGTCTTGATCTAAGTGATCTAAACGTTAGATTACCTTCATAATCAATCTCTTGATCAATGTCTTAGGAAAAGAGCACGTTTTAAGATTTGTAGTTAAAAAAACGCGTAAAGAAATTTATTATTAACAACCTACATGGTAATGAGTCGATTAACACGTCAGAATGTTCAATTTGTTCCATTGTGCTTTTTGTATTTTGACCAAATCGTGTAAACTATTGTCCTAATAGTTATGCAGTTATAGTGATAATCAAATTTCTGATTGGATAAATTACTGGTCACGTTCGTACGTACTGTATTAACGCCTGTAGATCACATTAATCAATAAATCCCCTAATGTGACCTAACCCTAAAGGATTCTTAAGGAAACCAGAGGGAAGCAGGTACTGGTGTCCAATAATTCGAACCTTACAAGGGCAGGAGTAGGTAATAACAGGGGTTTAATACTATAGCGCTAATAAAACTAGGGAAAGACTATAGATACTTAGAAATTATCTTGGGGTAACACCATAAGGTAACCTTAGATATAAATAGTTAGAACATAGCCCTATTACGCCAAAAATTTAGGTTTAGTGCATCCTGTAAATATACAGTTGCATCCGATAATTCTACATTTAAAGTAATAAAAGGCAAATTCCGCCTTAAAAAAAAAAAAATCACTCGAAATTACTTTTAATAATTTTTAAAATGACAAAATATTACCGCTTTTCGAAATTCGTAAAAAACGAGAATTCTACAAAGACAAGCACTCAAGCAATGCCGTTGCGTATTACAGTTTACTACGAAGTTATTTTACACTGACAGAATCGATCTTGCAATCCGCCGGGCGTGGAGATGCATTCTCACGCATTCCGAGAAGCTGATGCTTTGCAAGAACACCTTGGGTCTAGATCTCTTTGAGCATTTCAAAGGATCGCCCTGGTCAATATAAATGCGAGTACATTCAACATAAACAATACACAAGTAATTCAATATTGGCATCATAGGAAACTGTCTGCCGAGCGTGGAGATGCATTCTCACGCATTCCGAGGAGTCTGATGCTTTGCAAGAACTCCTTGGGTCCTGATCTCTTTGAGCCTTTCAAAGGATCGCCCTGGTCAAATGTCATACACTTTTGGCATGACGAACGTTAGAATGAGTGTATTTTTTTTATCTTTTAAGATAAATGCGAGTACATTCAACATAAACAAATATTGGCATCACTGACGGAATCGATCTTACAGGCTTATGTCTGCTGAGCGTGGAGATGCATTCTCACGCATTCCGAGAAAACTGATGCTTTGCAAGAACACATTGGGCCCTGATCTCTTTGAATTTTTCAAAGGATCGCCCTGGTCAAGAGAAATACGAGTACATTCAACATAAACAATACGCAAGTAATTCGATATTGGCATCATAGGAAAAGAATTTTTTACGCTTCTGTCTGCTGAGCGTGAGATGCATTCTCACGCATTCCGAGAAAACTGATGCTTTGCAAGAACACATTGGGTCTTGATCTCTTTGAATTTTTCAAAGGATCGCCCTGGTCAAGAGAAATGCGATATTGGCATCATAGGAAAAGAATTTTTTACGCTTCTGTCTGCTGAGCGTAGAGAAAATTGGAGAAGGGATGAAGAGCATTGGAGGGTTGTTTAGGAGAGAAATCAGTTGCGTGTTCGTGTTGCTGAGATGCATTCTCACGCATTCCGAGAAAACTGATGCTTTGCAAGAACACATTGGGTCTTGATCTCTTTGAACTTTTCAAAGGATCGCCCTGGTCAAGATAAATGCGAGTGTTTAAAACCAAATAATGAGTTTAATAAATTCATTGAAGCAGTCATAAAGTCTGATTTGGAACAGTTTCCTGAAAATGAACCGCTCCGAAGTTGGCACATCAATACCGATGCTATCCCTCCGATTGTGTTTAAATAAACAATACGCAAGTAATAGTAACCGAAGAGCCTGATGCTTTGCAAGAACACATTGGGCCCTGATCTCTTTGAACATTTTAAAGGATCGCCCTGGTCAAGAGAAATGCGAGTACATTACAGTATTTCTTTAAATCCTGTCAGAACAGATATTGAGAGGGAAAGCATTAACAAAGATTCTTTGCAAGGGAGCCGATCTAATTCTTTAGACGGTGGGGAAGGATAACATTAGCAGTACCAATATTATTTTTATTATTACTTTTATTATTATTTTTATTTAATTTTTTTAAAATGTATTTTTGCGATAAACTTTATTTATAATAAATACTAGTTTAAATAAAATGTGGTAGTTATCTTTTTGAAACAGCAATTCAATAAATTTTTATAAAAAAAATTCGAAACTTTAAATAAATTTCTTTTTTTTTTTTAAAAAAAAAAAATGTTTAACTTGTCTCATAAAAATCATCTTAATGCTCTTATACTGTTTAAATAAATTTCATCTATTTACCGAGTAATGAACTTGTAAACTTTTAATCAAAATAATTAATAGCATGATTAAAACTTGGAAGCTTAAACGATCATTAAGCAATAGCGATAATGAGAATTGAAATAAACCAAATCGGCTAAACTGATAAAAGTTGAACGGCCAGAATCACGAATCAGGTAGATAATTTAGAAAAATGAAGAATAGATTGAGGATGAATTAAAAGACTAATTTTTATTGATATATAGAAATTCTAAAGAATCCTAAGACTAAACTATATTATCTATCAATATAGTCTTTATATAACTAAAAGGTATTAAAATTCAGAGTTGGATAAAAATTAACCTATTTTGCAGTATACTAGGAAAGTCATTGTTCACACATACATAAACTTGAAAACGAATTATTGTATGTGAATTAGAGTGCCCTAGAGAATTATGCTTTTGTATGTTACCAGATAAATTGACATTATAAAAATAATACATATTTAAAATAAATAAATTTATATATAATATTACCTTAAGGCGTATGTAAGTCGTATGATTTTGTAAATTAGTAAAGAAATTTCCTTAATTTAAGCACCACTAAAAATATAAATTTATCCTAGCAATCATTACTGGCCTTAGTATTAAGAATCAAGCCAACAATTAATCCATAAAGACCCAATACTTCGGCAAAAATTAACATCAAAATCATTGAAACAAAAAGTCTCGTTTGTTGTGCATAAGCTCTAACAAACTTTTTTATGGTATTAATATAAGGAAAAATTTTTAATTAGTATAATTGAAATAAGTTAAGATTGAAAAATTTAAGAGAAAGATTACTCACAGCATCACCAACAGCTCCTATTGAGTAACCTGCTCCCAAACCTGCAAGGCCTACTGTAAGACCTGAACCAAGGTGAATAAAGCCACTGAAAAAAAATAAATAAATAAAAAATAAATAAAATTTTGAAGATAATGAACGGTTTACACTTAAACAAGGGATATAACTTACGTAAATAGAGAATATGACTTGTTTGGGTCCACTATTAAAAACAAATAGAAAGATTAGTATTAGAGAAAATAGATAATTAATTAATGAAAAATTGCAAACATACACGATCCACATATCAAAACAGATATAACAAGTCCATAAACAGCAATAATACCAGCCATAATTACAGGTAGAAGCGACTAAAGTACAAAAAAATCAGTAAGAAACTATGAATAATAGAAGAATAAATAATAGAAAGAAAAATAAAAGTAACCTTCATAATAAGCTCAGGTCTAAAAGTTCCGGCACCAGCAATTCCAATTCCAGCTTTTGTTGTCCCATAAGCAGCACCAATAGCTATTTCATTGAAAGAATTTTGTAAATTCACAAAAATTCGTTATAAATAATAAATCGAGACAAATAACAAAAAACAACGTTTTAAATTAAACAAATTTACAGCTAAAGATCATCTTTAAAATTTAGAAAGAGAACATTAGCTAACGTTTAATTTCTTTTAGAAAAAAAGAAACATAAGAAAATTAAGCATCTACCGCTGCTGCAACTCCAGCGTGTCCGAAAAACGATGCATAAACTGGGCATTGATCGCTTATTTTCAAGTCCATTTAAATAGTAGTTCTTCAAAAAAGAAATATATTTATATAAGCAAACATTTTATTATCTGTTATATTAATTTTTATTAAACCAATGAAATTTCAAGATCTTATCTTAGTATACGCTTAAAGATGAGTTTAATTTAATAATATAAATAAACATGTTTTTTTTGTTATATTCTGTTGAAACCTTTCAATATAAGACTAGGGTTGTCAATGGAGTAGCTTACTTCGGAGTAGAACCCAATCCAAGTTGAAGCAAACTAGAGTAGCTATAGAACAACCTAGAATGCAGTAAAAAAGTCGGAATAAGCCTAATTTGATGGAGTCTAACCCATAACAAGACGTCAACTATTTCTGAAATCAAATTGTGAGGATCCAAAAGTCATGAGGTAGCGTTATAAGTCGACTATAGATTTGGAGAAACTGTCACGACTTACTCCGTAACTAGTCACGACATAGGAAGTGGAATTTGTTACCAGGTAATTGATTTATTATGATTAACATTTTAAGAACTCAGCATTATATTTCCATCGTATCATGTTGGTTTGAAAAACCGAATCTGCCAATATATGTACAACTTCGAAAAGACGTTAATTTTTGTGTGTAAAACAAAGATAATTAAAAATTCGGAGAAATTTGCTTTGAGATACTATTTTTATTATGATTATTTGTTATATTATATGTAAGTACTAAAAGTCGAAAAAATCAACTAAAAAAACGACCAAGTTGTTATCTTTTATAGTGATTCATTCATTAGGTGGATAAATATATAGATGTGGGTAGTCTGAGTTAAGCAGATAAATGAATGTTGATAATTAATAATACCCTATAACGCGAAAGGGTAAATGATAACTGAAAATAAAATAGAATTACTATGTATTTAAAATGCTGCATGATAAAGAGTAAAGCTTTGCTGATGATGATATCGATTTCTGATTTGATTTTGGATCATTGTGAATTGAATTTCTCCTTATACTTCTGCCCAAGTATAATTAAATTTTCAAACCCGAACAGGTTCTTTAAATTTCCAAATATTTAGGTAGTTTATTTCTGTATTTAGAAGCTACATTGTGGATATTAATTTTACTGCCAATCCAGCAATCACTAAACTTGAGTTTGGAACTTTTTTGGGATTTCTCGTTTCTTTTACGTTAACAAATGGGTGCTGCTAGGGGAAATCTGACCTTTAATAAAAATAAATTAACACTTATCATTTGAATCGCTTTAATGAGACGATTCGAATTAAAATCTTGTGTACAATTACTTGGTTTTTTTAAGATAAAATATTCAAAAAAGCATGATTTACAGGTTTCCTTGAGCGTTGGGCGTATAGATGAAATGTCATGAGGATTCTCATTTACATTAAATTATCAACTAAAAGTGAATCATTACTCACTTTTAAGTTAACTATCTCTATACCCTTCACCGTGTCGAGCAATATAAATTAGATTTGTATTGACAGGTGTAACGTAAAAAATCGAAGCGATACCATTCTTTTTTTACAAAAAGAAAAAAACAAAAATAGCTCGGAATTTTAATTAAGAACCAACCTTCTGCGGCCTAATTAAAATTTTCCTCATGAAATTTTACCATTAGGTACCAAGTTGCCCTAACCTTGACCCTCACTATAACGCCGTTTTATTGACTAATTTTTTAAGAGGTGGATCAATTTCGTATTGTATGCAGGTACAAAACTATCGTTATGCAGCCTACGAAACTGTACAGTACTATTTCGCTATTGAACGTCATTTTTCAATTCTAAGTTTTGTTTTAACCGCTTAGACGAAATCGTAACGTTGTAGAAGTTAAATAGCCTTTTAACCAATTATTTATTCGAAATAGCATTTAAGATTTACATATAAAAAATAATTTATTAAAATATGGTATATTCGGAAGAATGGCTCAAAAATGCTATTCACGAAGGATATTTTAAGTCTTACGACTATTCTGAGTTCTCCGTTCATAAGCAAATTGGTAGAGGAGGATTCGGGATTGTATCTAAAGCAAAATGGAAAGATTGTGGGTTAACTATTGCTCTTAAAAAATTAAACAATATATCTATGGATGAGAAGACTATTCAAAGAGTTGTTAAAGAGGTAAGAAATTATATTATTGCTACAATGATAATGCAAGGATAATAGCTTTAATAACTTAACTCTACATATTTAGCTTAAGAACTTACAAAAAGTTTGCAAGCATCCAAATATTATTGAATTTTATGGTGTAACTCGAGGTTAGTGATACTGTAATAGCTGAATACTTTGTACATATTTATATATACGAAATAAATAATATTTAAAATTATACTCCTAATAGATCGGGAGTCCTATAATATGGTTTTGCAATTTGCAAATAATGGAGATTTACGCGAATATTTAAAAATAAATTTTTCAAAGCTTGAATGGACTGATAAATTGCGAATGGCCAGTGAAATTTCAGACGGCCTCAAATTCCTACACGAAAATGATATTATTCATCGAGATCTTGTAAGTATTCGTCTATTTGATTATGTTGTCATATGAAGGCAAAAGAAATTTTGTATTTGATTTTTTTAAAAATGATAATGATTTTAATGTTCTACAATTTAAAATTCATTTGTTTCAGCATTCCAAAAATATTTTAGTTCATGACGAAAAATTGTTGATTGCAGATTTTGGCTTATCAAAAGACGAGACGTCTAAAACTTCAAATGCTAGTGTTCATGGAATGCACGCATACATTGATCCTCAATGTTTCGAAAACGCAACTTATAAACGTAACAAGAAATCAGACACATATAGCTTGGGTATAATTCTTTGGGAAATTTCAAGTGGCCGACCTCCATTTCAATTATTTGAAAAAAACCCTTATGGCATTATTATTCATGTATCCAAAGGAGGAAGAGAAATACCTATAGAAGGCACACCAAACTTATACATTCAACTCTACGAAAGATGTTGGAATTATGATCTCAACCAGCGTCCAGAACTTGAAGAAATTTCAAGAAAGCTTTTGGATCTATCAGAAAATTTTGGTATGTATGCACGGTTAATAATGAATTATTCAGAATGATTAAGTTTCAATATTATTTGGGTCATGTTTGTCAAATAAACATTCGCTGGTGGAATATTAATATTAATTACGGTATTTACGCAACCATTAAAAATTTTTACCATTCTGCATTTATTTAGGTACAATTAAATTCGACAAATTTATTTCGGATACTACGCCTAAAATCTCAAATTCAGCTATTCAATTATCGGAACAATCTCTTAAATTCATATACAACTTATTAATGGAATACTTTTTGGACGCAGGAACTGGAATCAGGGACCCGTAAAAATTTGGATTTTATTTATATGAATTTCGATTCCTATAAATAAGATCCAAATTTTTACGGGTCCCTGACTGGAATGTGGGAATTACATCCTCGATCACGTGACGTGAAAGAGCGGGAATTGGACTTTTTATACAAATTTTAATGATTTCATCACATGATTTATGTTGTACTGCTTTTTTTTTTTTTTACCAAAAAAAAATGTTATATTGCACCCTCTTTTTTATAAATCCAAAACCTATTGCTCGTAAATAAAAAAAATAAAATTTTTATCTATTACATACAAATGCTTATTAAATTTGTTATAGGACACAAATTCACTTCAAGTAGCTTCTGTATATAATTAATAAAAAGAAAATTGGCCAAAGGCAGCTACGTACACTCCCCTGACATAAGTCACCGGATTTTTTTGGTAACGTATGACGATCATTTTTTTTTGCAGGTTTTTGATTT